AATAATTTTTCAGCTAGCAGAATCATGTTACGTCTATGAGAATCATGTTCCACCCGGCAGAATCATGTTCCGCAAAATTAGCAAGATTCATGATTATGTTGGTAATAACCTAAATCATGTTCCGACTGATTGGCCTATCCAGCTATTATACAGTCAAACATGTGCAAAACGTCACCGGTCAATGACATAACAGAATTGTACGGTTGTTATCAGCAAGATGTCCGGCTAATCAGAACAATACAAAATCCTTCTCCGACTTATGAGATAAATGTGACAATGACTCTCGTAATTTCCGGCTTGTATTGTAGAGGGACTGACTGTTTGTCCGCTGGAAAATGTTTATCCGGTATCGTCTCTCCTGGTACAGTTATATTTTTGCTGAAATCAGGCCAAAAATTCGAATTTGAATGGTCGTTTTAGCTAAAACATCTGAATTGGCCTTAAATTAACCTCCTTTTTGTATGTCAATAGAGAAAGTAGTTTATGTTCCAAAATTCACAAGATTAAGAAACAATTTAACTTGTAATGAATAAATATTTATTGTCAATCGAAATCCTTCACAAAACATAATAGAATTACATTTAAACAAACACACCCTGAAAATAACATGAAATGACTGTACGATGCACCGGAAAGTTGCACTATCCAGATCTACCAATTGAATTGAACAACTAATCTCAAAACTTGCTCCACGAATCATACATTCTAATCTGGCAGGTAGTATCTAAAAATGTGTAGGTTGTAGGCTAGCCTGGGATCCAGACGTTGATATTTTTTGCTTATTCATAACATACGCGCTATTTTATACTTGTTTGTGTTTTGAACAGAAGCAAATAAAAAAATCGACAGACTGGAACCCAAGCTAGTTGTAGGCTGAAAGTATCATGTTATTGTAAAATATTACCTTTTATCAGGTTTACCGAACGAATTGATATTGGGTAATAAAAGACACTGTATGAACAAATATGAAAAGTCATAAAAGGTCTATATCCGGTCAGCGTCTGCAAGCTGAAAAAATAATATTATAATACAACATTGTTTTTCTGGACATAATTGGATCCATTATTTGTAAGGATCATTCTTTGCTCATTACAGCAAATCTTTAAAGGGACTTTATTTACATTTTTTGATATGATTTTGAAGATTAAAATTCTATTTGATAAAGGCCTGGACCTATACAAATCTTCTATAGGAATACTGTTCTTATGTATCGTCTTTTAGCAAACAATTTCTAAAAGTCCTTAGGTTTTCAGTAACGAAGGCGTTCAATATCCTTATTTGTTAACATGTAACTCATAACTACGTTTTTTCTTTTTAAAAACATTTTTATGAATCATTTTTTACTAACATGTCATATATTTCGAGAAAAAATATACACATTATAACTTTATTTATTCTATTTATGTATTTATAACAATGGATATTTTAGGAAGTGTAAAAATGGAAATATGTACAGTAGCGTATACATCTCGGAATTAAAGCATTCCATGATGTGATATTTTATTTCAGCAGTATAAAATAAATGGCCATCGCCATAGTGTAGTCAGGTACGTTTGTCAGCGTACGGAATGGTACGGGCATATACAGAACATTATTGTAAAAGAGATGTTCCCCTTTCAATTACATGCACGCCGTTTGTTTCCGAATCTGAAGGCAATATGAATAAACTACAAAACTCATATATTTGTGTGTTTCTAAACCATTAAACCTTACTGGCGTGGTGGTAGCAGGAAAAGGATTCACTCTAATCTGCAACTCAGTAATTTGCGCACACTGTTGCGGACCTTACACGTCAAAATAAGTATATTTTCACCAAACGGATAGTTCTACTCTACTGCGTAGTGACGACACACACAAACATTTACAGTAATTGCTCAAGTACGTGCACCCAAACAATGGTTTTTGACCAAACAAGAAACTTATACATCGTTCGAGTCTTGGAGACAAAATTTACAATATACTTTGTCCCTGGACCCAAATTTTGCACCGTTCCTAGTTCAGGGATTTCAGTGGGAGCGAAAAACAAACACAAACCCAGAACGCCGATTTACTGATGTTGGAGAATCAGTTCCTGAGGCAAAGAGGCGCATAGCTGCACAAAAAGTGATTTATCTAGAACTCATGTTAGGGCAAATTGCAAACTTCTGCCCAATAATTTCATGTAACACTCGTGAAAAATGCAACGTCAATAAAAACTATTTGGCAGACAATTCGTTTACATTTCGGATTCCAGTCAACAGGCACACATTTTCTGGATTTTGACAGTATACAACTTCAACAAGGAGAGAGACAAGAGGATTTATACCAGCGTTTATCAAGTTTCATCGAAGATAACACATTTAAGAAAGATGATGGCCTATCTCATATGGGAACTGTACCAGATCCAGACGAAGAGATTATACCAACAGTCGACAATTTGGTCGTATTAACATGGTTGAGATTAATAGACAATCGTTTGACGGCACTAGTAAAACAGCGCTACGGAACAGAACTTTGTTCAAGGACTTTAGCCACACTTAAGCCTGAAATTTCTCTCGCTTTAAACAGTTTGCTAGACGAAATACATGCCGTGGCGGATGCAAAAGTTATGCGTTCTGCTTTTAAAGGTTCTAAAGACAACGGAAAATTTCGATCAGTGTTTCGTGCCACCCCTTCGTGCCCCTTATGCAAACAAGCTGGCCGAAGATCATTCAATCATTTTCTCAGCAAATGCAAATACCGTATAAGTGTTTTTTTTTCTGCGGGCTCCAAATTCTACGGTTTTTCTAAATTTGGGCATGTTTTAATTTCTGCGGACTTTATTTCTGCGGCACATTCTTTGGACAAAACGTGATTTAAATTCTGCGACTCGTCTTATCAAAGTCTACGTCACATTACCCTATCTATTATATTTGCATGGACACGTTCCCATCTGTTTATCGTCCTCACCGCAAAAACTGTAAAGTAATTAAAAGCAATTATATTGTTTGCTTGCAAACAATCATAATGCACAACAATAGAAAGGTATACATCGTTGATCTGCGTGAAGTGACGTGTGAAAAATATACCCCGTTAGTATCTTTAATTGATAGAAATTTACCGTTAATCAGATAACAATTAAATTATATAACGAATTTTTAGCAGTATAAGGGTTAGGATGTTTTGAAATATCTTTATTCTTAAATTAGCATCATTAACAATATGTACATCCTTACAAACACAGAATACATACTCAGCCGAAAACTTGAAAACCCGCTAACCGTTATAATCTGTTAGTCGTTATTACTTTAGACGTAACAGGCCATAATGTAGGATACATATCGTAGAAGGTAAGAGAAATATTCTGCGTTTTTTATTTCTGCGGTGCCAAAACTGACCGCAGAAAACGCAGAAATAAAGTCAACGCAGAAAAAATCCACTTATACGGTACTTACATGAGGAAGACAAGCGTTATCTTTCAAGTGTACGTCAAACTGTATCGGACAAAACTGCGGGGGACCCTGAAACCGATCAAGAGTCTTACGAAGATGACAATCAGCAATCTCAATGCTATGGTATACATTCGGCTACTTCTAGACGTGTAAACACCAAACAGTCTCCAACATTAAAAACATTTTATAAACATTTTCCTTTGAGTGTTACCCTAGACACTGGTGCAGAAATCAACATGTTGAAATTGTCTGTTGCACACTATATGGGAGTACCTATTAAGAAGAGCAATCAACGTGCACTCCAGGCAGATGGTTCCACCCCATAAAAGGTGGCTGGCGAGAATCATATAGTTCTTACCCGTGGCGAACAGAGTTTAACTGTTGAAGCATTAGTGGTTGAAAACTTAGATGTGGATTAACTTGGTGGAATACCTTTCATGGCAACAAATGACATCATGGTTAGGCAAAGCAACAAATTGTTATTTATGGTTCTGATACAGTGTTATAGGCACCAGAGGTACATGACCCGTTTTTTCACAGTGTTCGAAGGACCCAAGCTTTTGGCCTTAGGCCAAGTTCCAATATGCCTTCAATTACATGGCCGAGATCTTACCTGGAAGTCACTTTGCCAGACAGCATTGATCCAGATGGCACACTTGCCATAGAGCCCAAGTTAGGAGCATCCAGTAACAAAAAATGGCCACTTCCACAAGTTATTGAAGCAGTGTCTGGTAAAGTAAGACTACTGAATTCAACGACCAATCCCATCCATGTGCATAAAAATGAACATGTTTGTCAAGCTCGCCACACTGTTGACTCTTATGATATAAGAAATCAAGACTTTCAAGAAACACCCCTGGTTCGTACTTGTCATGCCAAGATGTTTACTAATATACATGTGTTTCTCAACCTTTCAAATCACTGTAAAATTTATAGAATTACTAAGAATGTGTTTGTTAATGGCCGGATTCATTATAATGTTAAAATAACATTTTAAGTGGTACAGGTAGTAATCAGAAAAATAAAAACTTTTGTTATCAATTACCTCAAAATTATGTTAATAATGTACATTTTTAATGATGGGGTAACCCCTTTACTAATATAATTAATATGTAAATAATAATACAACAGCATCTAATTGTTTGAAATTGTGTAACTGGGGACAAGGTAAAAACAATCGATACCTGTTCTAAAGTAATAATTGGGCATCAGTTATATTTATAGGCATTGCAAAAATGAAAGCATTTGACATACTATCTGTACAAGGAAGTGTTAATTTTTGTCATGTTAACTGTAAAGATTTACCCACATGTTATGTATGTATGTAAAAAACAACAACAAAGGAAACAACAAACAAATTCCAAAAGCATAGAAGCCAACATTCAGTACATATTTATAGTGTAACATTACAGTATTTTATAATGATAATTTGGCTAAAAATTAGATGAAATGAAAATCAAAAGAAAAGAAAAGAATAAGAAAAAAAAAGAGAAAAGAGAATAGTAGAACGAAAAAAGAACTATTTCAGAATTCAACTTTTCTGCAGCTTGTTTTGAGTATATTCATTATAATTTTTAGAAGTCTTCTTCTTTATACACTAGTGTCATAGGTGTTCCACTTCTCATCTCTGGACTTTCTTACTTGCAGGATCACTTTATCATTAAGTTCTAGGATTCTGGTTTTTAACTTGTTAACACCATCTGCGGGATTTCTTAACTTATATGCCACTTGCATTAGTTTGTACCGTTGTTCTTTCATTACTGGGGGGAGATCTACTAAGATGGAGTACCCTTTTGGGAGAGTACCTGCATATACTTGATCCAATACAAGATCTCGGTCAAACATCCTTACAAACCGTACAATAATTGGTTTAGGCCCAGTGCCATTTGATGGTAGACGGTGGGCGTTCGCAAAGAACATCTGGTCAACCGCATCTGATGAAAGCCTTAAATTCTTTTTGAAAAACTCTTTTATTGTAACATAGATATTTTCATCGTTTTTTTCTTTGATGCCATACAGGAGCAAATTGTACTTTCTGTTATGACGAGCAATCTTAATGTTTTTCTTCCTTTCCTCATCAATAGCCTTTTTGAGTACTTCTTCTCTTTCTTCTGACATCTTAAACATCTCATTATACTGTTTTTCCAGTTTTTTGTACTTTGAAAATTGATTTTTAGTTTTTCCTCTATTTCTGCCTTTTCTAAGTCAAATTTCTTGGTCTGAAAATCAATACTTTTTTCTATTTCATCTACAGATATCTGCATATTCTTCAAATGTTTATTTTGATCATTTACATTTTGGTCTCATTTATTTGATAATTTGTCTACCCTAGCGTCTACTGTTTTTATGGTGCTGGCTAAGTCCTCCTTTATATTTCTTATTTCTTTTTAAATGGATTTATTGTTGTCATCTATTTGTTCAAGTTTGTTTAGTATTTTCTGTATATCTTGAGTTGTAGCTAGTGGAGGTGTAAAATGGGTTTTGTCAGATGTAAAAGCACTTGTAATTTTAGGTTGATCAATTGTTTGTACCTGAAGTTCCTTGATTTTTCCTCTTGTTCTGGGGGAATTTTCTTCAGGGACTGTTTCAGATTCGTTAGATTTTTTATCTTTTCCTTTTTGCAATGATTGTGACTTTTTTTCTCTCACTCATTATTTGTTTATGTATTTTGCGTGTATATATGGTTATTTTTAGTATAAAGTTATATTTAGTAACAGGGATTTCTCAAGTTGTTTTTGTTTCCACTGTTTTGAAGGTGTTACGTGGGTGGGGTAATAACCTTGCTTCTCTCTGGTCAATGATTTCACCAATTATTCTCATTAAGGCTTCATTTTCTGATGACTTTGATACTGTATTTTATTTAATTGATATTTTAATTGTTTACAGCATACAAAACCATTTATAAACCGCTGTTTTTACCGTTTATCTCAGCTGAAACTCTAGAGAATTTGAATTTTACGCCATGTTTGTTTACCGGAAGTTTTGTACACCGACAGTTGATGCGTAACCTTGGCCAACTTCAATATATTTAATGATAATTATTATTCACTGTGATAATTGAAGTCAACATGATACTTAACCATCCACCTTGTATATAATGGACTTTCCTTGCTTTCATTATCTAAGCTGTATTTATCTTGTATTAATTTTGCATTTTCTTTTCGCTTTCTTTTTTAATGTAAAATAATTGAACATAAAATGTGTAGTCGCAAAGAGTTTGATGGTGGATCATTTCATTTATATTTCTTTTTACTTTCATCCTTTTAAATGCATTTTCTTAGATTGTTCAAGTATCAAAACAGGTCAAATGATTTTACAGCTCTTACTAAGTTACTTCTCAGTAATTTCAATCAAATTTACTGTACTAATTATATATAGTCTAACAGACTATAGAAAGGATTAAAAAAATTGCAGATTTATTCTGATTATATACAAAACCAGCACAGAAAAAGACATGTAAATTATGCATATTTTCAATACTGTAGCTAATACTGTTATGCAAAATGTAAATATGTTTATTACCTTTTGATTGCTGTTTGTTTACATAATGTAACTCCACAGGAAATTTCCTAATGAAAACGGTTTTCCCCAGATCCCAAGAATCTTATTGGTTAACAATTATCCGAGGTCAAGCTATTTTTAGAAAGCGCTAAAATCCGCCGACTCGTTCTCCAAAAAACCTACACGTGGTAAACATGTTTTCAACGTCCGAACATATATTTTGTGAACTATTAGTCTTCCCAGTTATATTCTTTACACATTTATAAGTAATACTGGCGAAAACAAATATCCTAAACTGTTTATCAGATAGTAACACTTAAATCCACAAGATATGCTTTAACGAGGTCAGTCTATACAGTGACCCGGATATGAACTAGATCGGTTTTGCCTATATTATAAACTGTGTATGAAGATGTACGCGTAAATAGGATTTTTCCTGGTGGCAGGTTACAGGACTTTATATACTTACTTGATTTCTCAGAGAAAAACTTGTATTTGGTATTTAGTTTGTTTGTTGTGTGTAAGGGTTATGTTTGGTGTTAATTGTTTTATATGTTCATCTTGTATTATTTCCATTTATATTTTTTTGCTAACATGTATCACCACTTTTTTCCTATTGAATTGTGATACTATTTCGGGCTATATATCTCTGCACACAAATGTTTGTTTTTCCTAGACTAGAGGTGATCTCTTCTGGCGAGTTTTCTATCAAAAAGACTGCCTTCATGAGTGCCTCAGTCTCTGCTCTGTAATTGCTGCAGCGCTTCCCAGTGGCGATGTAATGGGCTGTTTTCTGGCCTGACGGGTACGTTATGTGAATACCACCGCCTCCATCCTTAACGGCTCTAGTGGCTGACCCATCTGTGTATACATGGGTCCATGTGTCCGAAGGATAGTCTGCGTAGATAGCCGCAAGTGTCAGACTTCTACGGATGGTCTCATTTTCCTGTTTGCCCATGTCTTGTCCAGGAATAGCAAGTGCCACTTTGACTGCAGACAGGTCATTTGCTGTAGGGTTGGTGATGTCTGCTCGGCCCAAGGGAATTGTCTGAGTGTTTAGTTCAGCTGCATGCTCTCTACTCAGCTTCTTTGCTTGATGTACAAAGCTGCAGCGCTTGAGGCGGTTCTTGGTGAATCCCTCAAGTCTGCTGTTCATGGGGTGGTCTGGGAGGGACTGGTACTTGTTTGCCTGGAGAAGGACCTTGGTTTGTCTTCTTTCTTGATGTGTTTGAATTCCGGTCAGTTTCTCCATGAAGGCGATTGGTGTAGACTTGGTGGCCCCTGTGATGATACGAAGTTCCTGGTTCTGTACCTTATCCAGGGCTTGCTGGTTTGTCTTGGCTGTTGTGGACCATGTGGCTGAGCTGTACTCCATGGTGGGTCTTACTGTGCCCTGATATACAGTCTTCAGTATTTGCTCATTTGCACCCCAGGTTGTCCCAGCAAGTTTTCGCATCATCCCAAGCTTCCTTCGTGCCGTCCCTTCTACACGGCTGATGTGTGCTTTCCAAGCCTGCCGCTTGTCAAAGGTAACCCCAAGGTATGTGGCTTCGTCTTCCTCCTTTAGTGGAGTTCCAGCCAGCATGACCTTCCCAGCTCTCTGCTTTGTTGACAAGGTGAACAGTGTGGTGGACGACTTCTCTTTGTTGATCGTGACACACCAGTCTTCGGCCCATGCTGCGAGTTTGTCCATAGCTCTTTGCATTCTGTATGTGGCCGTAGAGGCGTGTTATTCTTTGCACCATAGCACCAGGTCGTCAGCATAAAGAGCAGCATGAACTCCCTTAGGCAGTTCAGACACCAGGTCGTTGATGAAGACCAGAAAGAGTGCCGGGGATAGGACTCCACCCTGTGGGACGCCATGGCGTAGCAGGAACATCCTACTGTTGGATTGGTTCAGGCTGACTCTGGCTCTTCTATTAAACAGATAAGCGTTGATCCATTTCAGCATGACCCCTCTAACTCCATTCCTCATGAGCTTTACTTGTAGCCCTTCTGTCCAGACTTTGTCGAACGCTCTTTGTAGGTCAATCCATGCTGTAAGGACCACCTTTTGCTCTTGGAATGCGTCTTCGACTTCCTGCGATAGGTATGTAGTCTGGTCTTCTGCGGAACGGAATTGCCGGAAACCAGCCTGTTCAGATGCCAGCAAGTCATTGGTCTCCAGGTACCACTTCAGGCGTGCGTTCACAATTCTCTCCATGGTCTTAACAACACAGCTGGTGAGGCTGATTGGACGGTAGCTGGCTGCCTTTTTTGGGTCCTTCCCTTTCTTCAGTATAGGGATCATCGTTGCCTCTCTCCAAATCTGTGGTAGCTGCCCTTGTTTCCAGCTGTAGTTGTATATGTCCAGGAGTTTGCACATTGCTGTATTGCCCAGGTGTGTCAGCATCTCATTTGTGATTCCGTCAGGACCGGGAGACTTTTTGGTCTTTAGTTGCCTGAAAGCTGCCTGAACCCCATGAAGCGTCAGGCGCGAGTCCATACACTCTGACGTAACTTTAGGTGTTTTCCTGTCCCTTTGTTCTCTTCTTGCTTCCCTCAGTCGTTCACTGTTGATGGGGATGTCGCTGACATCTTTGTAGTTTTGGGCAAAGACGTTTGCTGCTTGTTTGCCCACCAACAGCTCTCCCTCCTCTTCCAAGGTAACTGAGCCTCTCGCTTTGTCTTGGTCGTCGTTCAGCTGTTTTGTCAACCTCCACAACTTTCGGCCATCTCTCTCGAGTTCAATAAAGCTGTCTTGTGTCTCCAGCTCTTTCTTTGGGCCTCTAGCTTGTGCCTTAGGAATTTGGTCTTGGCATGCTGTAAGTTGTGGTTTGCCTCCTGTGAGGGATTGTTTTCGGTTTCAACTCTGGCTTCGGACACCTTGGTTTGCAGCTCCTCTAACTGCTCACTCCAGTAGGGCTTGTAGTCTTTCCTCGCACCTCTAGGGATGGACTGCTGTGCTGACTTGAGGATGCATTGGTTGAAGTCCCTGACTATGTTGTTAATGTCTCTGCCTTCAACTCTGATGTCTTTGCAGAGTTCATCACTCACAGACTGGAAAAGGGGCCAATCAGCCTTTTTGTAGTTCCATCTGGGTAGGCTAGATGACATAGAGACAGAGCGGTCCAGTATGATGAGGACTGGACGGTGATCATTGCCTCCAAGATGATCAGTGACTATCCTCTTGACATGTCCGTGTATGTCGTCAGTACAGAAGGCAAGGTCAGGCGTTGATGTCGAGTGCCATCTTCTCGAGTAAAAATTCGGGGATCCTCCGGCTGATTGATGAGGTTCAGCCTGTTGTCATCCTGCCAGGTCTCCACTTCCTCTCCTCGGTTGTCCATGTGGTCATATCCCCAGCTTTGTGAGTGACTGTTGAAGTCTCCAACAACCATGAGGTTTGTTGCTTCCATTGGGATACTGTCTAGGGAAAGAGCTTTGTCATTTTGAGAGCACATATTCACAAGAGTCATTTGAAAGTTGTTCAATCTGAGGCTCAGCACTTGGAATTCCGAGTCATCCATATGCATTTTAGTCTGGATAGCATTGATGTTGTTCCTGACTAATGTCATGATGCCTCCTTACTTTCTGCCAACCCTGTCGCTTCGGAAGCACTGGTATCCTCTGATCTTAAAGGATTTAGCTGGTTGCAGGTGTGTTTCCTGAATGCAACAGACATTGATGTCATTCTCATGAAGGAAGTTCTGAAGTTCAGTCTTTTTGTTGAAGACTCCTTCTGCGTTCCAATGCATCACTTTGAAGTGTTGCTGTTGGACTTTCCTCCTCCTTGGCTTGTTGTAGCCCTTTGGTCTCCTCTTGGCATGATGGAAAGAGTGACCCCAGTAGCTTTGGGTGGACTCTGTTGAGGCTCAGAGCCCGGCACTGTATCTCCACCTTCTTAAAAAAGCAATCAGACAAAAAAGAAAAAGAGATTATTGAAAATTTAAATAAACTTCAGGAAAATGAACAAAATAATAAGGACGAAATCCGAATTAAAATGAACAAATTAAATACAATAAGAGATAAGAAATTTGAAGGTTTAAAAGTAAGGTCAAAGGCAATATGAGTAGATAAAGGAGGAAAACCTACTAAATATTTCTGTTCCCTAGAAAATCGAAATTATATTAGTAAATGCATGCCCAATTTAATTTAATCTAATGGGGATACAACCAAAACAGAGCAAGAGATTATAAATGAAGTCAAGAATTTTTATGAAAACCTATATTCCGACAGAAAAATCACAGATATTAATTTAAAAGAACAATTGAATTTTAATGATATTCCTTAACTTTCTCTTGACCAAAGTAATTCTATAGAAGGTAAAATTTCAAAAGGAGAGGCGTCTTTTGCCCTTTTAAATATGAAGAACTCAAAAAGCCCTTGTTCAGACGGTTTTACAGCCGAATTTTTCAAATTCTTTTGGAAAGATATTGGAGATTTTTATATCAGATCAATGAATTACAGCTTTGAAACTAATGAATTATCAATAACTCAAAAAGAAGGTGTCATTATATGTATCCCAAAGGGTGAAAAAGACAAACGACTTGTAAACAATTGGCGTCCAATATCTCTACTAAATGTCTCTTATAAAATCGCATAAGCTTGAATCGCCAATAGAATAAAAATATTCCTTCCTTTACTAATAAATGATGATCAAACCGGTTTTATTTCTGGCCGTTTTATAGGAAAAAACACTACAAGCTTATATGACCTTTTTCATTTTACAGAAAAAAAAAACAATATACCGGGTCTACTTTTACTAATCGATTTTGAAAAGGCTTTCGATTCTCTAGAATGGGCATTTATATTCAAAACATTAGACTTCTTTAATTTTGGTCGATTTATTAAGAAATGGCTAAATGTTTTTTATTCAAATATAAAGTCGTGTGTTCAAGCAAATGGGCAAATCTCGGAATGGTTCTCTATAAAACGTGGCTGTAGACAAGGAGACCCATTATCCCCTTATTTTTTCATTCTCTGTGAAGAGATATTGGCCCTCTTAATACGTAAAAATGACAGTATTACTGGTATTAAAATAGGTAATAAGGAACATCTTGTTTCACAGTACGCAGATGACACATTTCTTACTTTGGATGGTACAGAAAAATCTCTAAAAAATACACTTTTGGTGCTTTAATTCTATGCAAACGCCTCCGGCCTTCACATTAATATAGAAAAAAAACAAAAGTTATTTGGTTTTGAAGCATGAAAGGAAGAAACATTGAATTTCAAATAGGAGAAAATCTGACGTGGGAAAAAGAAACTTTTACTGTTCTCGGAATTTAATACTCACTTAATTAGCATTAACTATAACGATAAAATAGAAGACATAAAATCATTACTGCAACAATGGTCTAAAAGAATTTTAACCCCCGTACGGTAAAATAACTGTTATTAAAACTATGGCTCTATCGAAAATCAATCAGTTAGGAACGTCGACAAGAGTTTGATAGGGAGACCACCTACTATTGAATTTATCCCAATTAAAAGAAGAATATTGGATATACTTTTCTACATTATAATGGAAAACTAACATCATTTATTAGTAAAGGAAGGAATATTTTTATTCTATTGGCGATTCAAGCTTATGCGATTTTATAAGAGACATTTAGTAGAGATATTGGACGCCAATTGTTTACAAGTCGTTTGTCTTTTTCACCCTTTGGGATACATATAATGACACCTTTCTTTTTGAGTTATTGATAATTCATTTAGTTTCAAAGCTGTAATTCATTGATCTGATATAAAAATCTCCAATATCTTTCCCAAAAGAATTTGAAAAAATTCGGCTGTAAAAACCGTCTGAACAAGGGCTTTTTGAGTTCTTCATATTTAAAAGGGCAAAAGACGCCTCTCCTTTTGAAATTTTACCTTCTATAGAATTACTTTTGGTCAAGAGAAAGTTAAGGAATATTCATTAAAAAAAAATTAAATTGTTTCTTTTAAATTAATATCTGTGATTTTTCTGTCGGAATATAGGTTTTCATAAAAATTCTTGACTTTCATTTTATAATCTCTTGCTCTGTTTTGGTTGTATCCCCATTAGATTAAATTAAATTGGGGCATGCATTTACTAATATTAATTTCGATTTTCTAGGGAACAGAAATATTTAGTAGGTTTTCCTCCTTTATCTACTCATATTGCCTTTGACCTTACTTTTAAACCTTCAAATTTCTTATCTCTTATTGTATTTAATTTGTTCATTTAATTCGGATTTCGTCCTTATTATTTTGTTCATTTTCCTGAAGTTTATTTAAATTTTCAATAATCTCTTTTTCTTTTTTGTCTGATTGCTTTTTTAAGAAGGTGGAGATACAGTGCCGGGCTCTGAGCCTCAACAGAGTCCACCCAAAGCTACTGGGGTCACTCTTTCCATCATGCCAAGAGGAGACCAAAGGGCTACCAAACAAGCCAAGGAGGAGGAAAGTCCAACAGCAACACTTCAAGTGATGCATTGGAACGCAGAAGGAGTCTTCAACAAAAAGACTGAACTTCAGAACTTCCTTCATGAGAATGACATCATGTCTGTTGCATTCAGGAAACACACCTGCAACCAGCTAAATCCTTTAAGATCAGAGGATACCAGTGCTTCCGAAGCGACAGGGTTGGCAGAAAGTAAGGAGGCATCATGACATTAGTCAGGAACAACATCAATGCTATCCAGACTAAAATGCATATGGATTACTCGGAATTCCAAGTGCTGAGCCTCAGATTGAACA